GAAATGAATTACTCCTTTGATCTCCCACCAAATGCAAAGCATCATTTTCTGAGGATAGAGTTCAGGTTTTGAAATTTGAGCCATTGATTTTTGGCGTTTAATATTCGCAAAGAGAATCCATTTTTCATCACCAGTGACAATTTTGTCCAAAAATGGTTCACGCGCATTACGCGCCAAAAGAGATGAAGCAACGTTCACCCGCTAGAAACGATGATCATAGGAGAGCTCTTGAGGCACTCAAACACCTTTATGGAGTTTTCCCATATTCCTTGAATGTTTACTTATTGTTTCATGAGAGACATGCAATTTCAGGGCTATTTCACGATTGTGTTGCCTTAGGTTAGATTCAACAAGCGTTTTCAGAGCATCAATATCAATTCCAGCATGTCAGCCCTTGCCATCACAGTTTTTAAGGCTAAAATCACCTGAACGAAATTTCCTGAACCATCGTTGACACTTACGAACGTTCAAGACATTTCCATAAACTTCATGATATTATTTGTGGCTACAGAGGTGTTGTTTTCCTTGTTGTATTCAAACAGCATTACATGCCGAATGTGTGTCTCGTCGTGTGCCATCACTATAAGGGATTAGAGTATACTAAACTTACACATTATATAGGCTACACTAACGTGACGTTTAGGCGGTTCGTTTAACTATTATACGTGATGTATGTTTTTTTTTGGTGGGGGGTGGTTAATGAAAGTGTTCCAAAACGCAACAGTAATTTCTTGACGACCTAATACATAACTAACAAGTTTTCTGAACATTGATGCGGTAAAAAAAACATGGCTAATAAGATTTCTAAATATTCGTATAGTAAAGATACGTGACTAACAAAATTTTAAACATTAAAACAGCAAAGACACATGAACAAGCTTACTAAACATTAACATAGTAAAGATATACGACTGATAGGTTTTTCTAAATATTAATACTATACAGATACATTACTAACAAGCTTGCAAAACATTAGTACAGTAAAGACACATAAGTACCAAACTTTCTGATCATTAATGTAGGAAAGACTAATGAGTTAGCTGGCTCTTCGAATATAAGCAGAAATCACATCAGCAAAAACATTAAGTTAAGAATCTTATATAACATTGATCTTGTAATAGCATAGGGTTAGGGATTTCTATGACGGTTTATACTGTAAAAAACATGGGTTAAGAATCTTATATAACATTCATCTTGTAATAGCATAAGGTTAGGGATTTCTATGACGGTTTATGCTGTAAAAAACATGGGTTAAGAAACTCTCTGAAGAGTGACTAATTAAGGACTATGGATCAGCAAACTTCCTAATTAAGGATCTTGGATTAATAAACTTTCTGAAGATCAATGTGTAAAGAGATGTTTGTCAATAAACTTAAAATTTGGATAGTATGTTCTTCAAAGACTGGTCCAAGAAAGATACTTGGGTTAACTAGGTCTCTGTTAATTGAACTACAAAAGGCACGTGGGTTAGAAAAGTCATGGTTTAGCAAACACTCGGAAGTTTGGTGTAGTAAGGTCATGTAGTTTAGCAAACTATCAAAAAATATATATGGTAGACACAAAATATTAGGAAAGTTATATGTAGTAAAGATACAGTGTTCGGGAGGTTTTATATATATATATATATATATATATATACTTAGTTAGGTTATATATATAGTAAAGACACAGAGTTGGGAAGCCCTCTGAAGACTGATGTAGCTAACAGTAGCTTCAAGGTGAAAACGATAAAACGTATTTCCTATATAACGTGTTTGTAGGGTGAAAGACAGACGTCGGGGTCGTTGCTAATCCAAGATTTTCCGTGTTTGTAAGGTGAAAGACAGACGTCGGTGTCGCTGCTAATCCAAGATTTTCCGTGTTTGTAGGGTGAAAGACAGACGTCGGAGTCGCTGCTAATCCAAGATTTTTCCGTGTTTGTAGGGTGAAAGACAAACGTCAGGGTCGTTGCTAGTCCAAGATTTTCCGTGTTTGTAGGGTGAAAGACAGACGTCGGGGTCGTTGCTACTCCAAGATTTTCCGTGTTTGTAGGGTGAAAGACAGACGTCGGGGTCGCTGCTAATCCAAGATTTTCCGTGTTTGTAGGGTGAAAGGCAGACGTCGGGGGCGTTGCTAATCCAGGATTTTCGTTCTACACACTTCATAGTAAGAATTGGGGGGGGGGGGGCTGGAGGTCTTTATTTACTTCTTTTATTTTATAATGCTTTTGTTACCTTAGGATAAACATGCTGGTATTTGTTCTGTAAATTTAAGCCTAACGACGTTGTAAAAGATATAAATTTCCTGTTTAATAAACTACTTTTTTATATCAAGAACCCCATGAACACATACCTCCATGTTACAAATGGTAATGAAACACCATTAACTCATGCTGGAATTAATTTAGTTTTGTCTGATCATAAATTGAACTATTATGCTTTTTGGATGTCCACGAAATTTAAGAAATGCGTTTGAAATTATTCTGAAAAGGGGGGTAGGGTAAGTAGGAAGGTAGAATGGGTAAGGCATTTTTATATTACTAAGGTTAGGTATTTATATATCACAAAAGCAGTGTTGAATAAAAGCAAAACACCACACATTATAAGATAACACTTTAATGACAGCGAACGCGCGCGACCAAAAGAAGCACGTGAACACGTACCACAGTGAGTGGTATCATAAATAAAAACGAATAATCAAGTGCAGCCATAAAATACTTGTTTTATTTTAGTATTCTTCAAATCAGTAAAGTTTGAAAAAAATCTTCACTTTGATTTAAACAAGATAAATTGTTTTGAAAGTAAAACTATTTCAATATAATGTTTACTGGCAAACTATCAAAAGTCAGACAGACGCTATTTCTTTTTGGTAAGCTACGTCACGCCTGAAAAAATCTCTAATAACTTGAAAGACGGGCATTGATATAACATTGTATGAAATAAAAGTCTTGCGATGCCTCATGGGCGCTCATCCTAATTTTTTTTTCATGGCCAAATTGCCGACTTTTAGTTTTGCAGTTAGTTAAGATGTACGGAAGACACCTGACCTGATTCTCCACCCTGCTCGATCGCCAGGTATATATAAGGGCCGTTCTATCGGTGTTCTTCGTTTAGTTGCTGTGGAAATCGGTAGTTGCGGTCAATCAGGAAAAAGAAAAGATGATGAAATACGTAAGTATCATCTTAAGTTCGGAAATTCTCAACTTTCTTTAGGGTTATTATTAATTTAGTTAGAGGTAATATAGCTGTTTAACAATATTCTGTTATACTTTTAAAGTATTATAGCGTTTTAAAGTTTGCTTAACCCTTTCTCTCTCTTTGCAGTCATTTAATGGTTTTTATGAATTCGCATATTTGACTACTTAGCCAGGTAGGTATGAGTTAAGCATACCCTTCTAGTATTATTGAAAGGCATGGGGTAAAAAGTTTTAGCAACTAAAAGTCCTGAGTATCATAAATGATTTGAGTGAAAGTAACTTAATCTATCATTATTCTCATACATGTGATGCTCATAAGAAGCTTTCCTCTAATCTCATACAATGAACCAAAACAACCAGTTCTTATTGCCACATTCACGAGCATCAGCTGCATATCAACTAAGTGTAGCTGTGTATGACACATGATGCTCAGGAGCTTTAGCATTATGTCCTGTGAATCGCATGTGATACGCAGGACACGGATAGGGTTAAAATAACTTCAGTCAGTCAGAGAGACAATTTTATTTGAATTATGTAAGAAAAAAAAAAACGTTTGTTGTTAAGCATAAAGATACACAATATGCTACTCGTGTTCTCCACATCGCAAGTATCAACCCCACGATTTTTAGCTTTATAGGCCTTCAGACTTACCGCTGAGCCTCCGAGGGCTAAACTGAATTTTGTGTTTTGATGATAATGAGAAGTGAAGAATGTCATGGTTATGTTGTGCCAGGATTGGACAGAACTGCAGACTGAAGAGTCCAAGACTCGCGACGTGACTCCGCTGAATACTCTCTACACTTTCAACTGTAAGCGTATTAAAGTGAAAATAATCCCGTTCTTCTGTTCACACAAAAACCTTTGTGGTGACAGATGCTGCTAACTGTGTCTGAACCCTAAGGGTCTGTAACCTGACCTCTTGGTCAACGTGTGCATAAGGTACCATTCAGGTTCAAAGATTCCAATTACACCGTACCAGAAATATTGGATATCTTTTACATTTCCCTGTCGAGTAGTGATACTGATAATTTTTACCGCCACGCTGCAGTGGTCATTAGGTGAAGTATTAAGCAGCAGTCGTTGAAGCCGTTCTTTAATCAAGTTTAAAGTACATTTGAAATGTTTTGGTCGAGTGACGAATGTACGGTAGAAAAACATTTAAAGTTGATGTAGCTCTTGTACATACTTTTACTTTTACCTATAGAAAAACATTTAAAGTTGATGTAGCTCTTGTACATACTTTTACTTTTACCTATAGAAAAACATTTAAAGTTGATGTAGCTCTTGTACATACTTTTACCTATAGAAAAACATTTAAAGTTCATGTAGCTCTTGTACATACTTTTACTTTTACCTAACTTTACAACTAGATTTATCATTCAGATTTTGTTCTCCTTGTGATAGTATAATTTGAAATGTGAAACGTGTTTGCTTGCATTGGACGACGCCATGAACAGCTGAATAATGCATCTACAACAAATTGTCATTCACACCCGAAAATGTAAAAAGCTCATTTAGACAACTTTTTACATTAATTATTTAGCTGATAGCTGATATAGTTCAAAACTGATATCAAATTTGCTATCTGAAGTCAAACTTCTTTATCTGTTTAATTACTGTAATAAGCTAAAGCTGTTTATGCAGAAGTAACTAATTAATAACTAGAGTTAGGTGAACATGTAACTATGACAGCGATAAGACTCTTACCTTTGCAAAATATTACACATTATTCATGATTGAAATCTTTTAAAAGTTTAGATCAGAAACCTGATATACTTAAAGAAATTGAAACAACCAATTGTTGATAGTCAGTTTAATCAAATAAATGATATCTTTTCATTTGGGTTTGTGTTATGGCCAATTTATAGATCATTGGGATTTTATTATTACAAACAGGTGGTGTTTGCCATGCTTCTGGCAGTGGCCAGTGCCCAAATTCTCGCTGACCTCAGCTACCACTCTACTCTTTGGCCTGCAACAACTAGTCAAGTGGTTACCCACACCTACAGGCTTGGCACTCCCTTATATATTCGTCGCTACATCAGGGTTCCCTACACTTTGACCCCTGTTCTCAAAGTTCCACAATGGGCCAACTATGGTTACTACTACTATCATCCTTTAAGTGGGCTGAGACGTTCAGTTGTGCTGGGTCTGGAGGCTCAACCCAAGGAAATCAAGCTGGAGTAGATGGACAGAAGATTAGAAATTTATCTCTTTCTTATGATAATGTTCAATGTTCTTTATTAAATAACATTTTATCTTTTGTATAGTGTTCTTTTTTTCTTTTTACTAACACAGTTATAAACATATTAAAATTGTTTTTATTTTTGCTATCACATTTGGGTCTGTGTTTTGGTTTATGAATCATAATATAAGTAAATTTACAATAAATAACTTCTTAATACATGAACACCTTCCCTGAAGTCAATATATGTTCAAAATAAAAAATTAATAATGATTTGCTCTTTTGCAAAAGTTGTTGTAACGATAGGGTCCTAAAATATGTAGTGAGAAAATGAGAAACCGAAAACACCACAGAATACTTGTGCTAAGTTGTTGGATCACAATTTTAAATTTTCAAGGCTTCAAAGAACGTAGTATCAAAGAACGCAAGATGTTTCATATATAAAAGGTTTGAGAAAAAATAAATAGACCACAAAACTGTATCTTGGGCTGAAAGGTGTCTACAAACAGGATGAACTGTATCTTGAGTTAAAAGGTGTCTTACAAACAGAGTAAACTGTATCTTGAGTTAAAAGGTGTCTTACAAACAGAGTATACTGTATCTTGAGTTCAAAGGTGTCTACAAATAAGGTAAGCCGTATCTTGGGATACAAAGTGTTTACAAACAGGATAAACTGTATCTTGAGTTAAAAATATCTACAAATAGGATAAACCGTATCTTAGGTTAAAAGGTATCTATAAACAGGATAAATCGTATTTTGGGATAACAGGTGTCTACAAACAGGGTAAGCCGTATTTTGGGTTAAAAAGTGTTTTCAAACAGGATGAACTGTATTTTGGGGTAAAAAGTGTCTACAAACATGATGAACCATATCTTGGGTTAAAAAGTTTTTTCAAACAGAATGAACTGTATTTTGGGGTAAAAAGTGTCTACAAACAGGATGGACCATATCTTGGGTTAAAGAATGTTTATAAGTAGGATGAACCGTATCTTGTGTCAAAAGGTATCTACAAATAGGATAAGCCGTATCTTTGGTTAAAAGGTATCTATGAACAGGATAAATCGTATTTTGGGATAACAGGTGTCTACAAACAGAGTGAACCGTATTTTGGGTTAAAATGTATCCATAAGTTGGGTGAACTGTTACTTGGGATCAAGGGTTTCTACAAACATGGTGAACCATATCTTGTGTTATAAGGTATCTACAAAAAGTGTGAACTGTATTTTGTTTTAAAAGGCGTCTACAAACAGGGTGAATTGTATTTTCAAATTAAAGGTGTTTACAAACAGGATAAATCTTATCTTGATTGAAATATATCTATACACAGGGTGAACTGTATCTTGTACTAAAAAGTGTGTACAAGCAGTTTCTGTATTTATAGCATAATCTACCAACTTAGTAATAGCTTTTGAAAATTCAAGAGAATCTATAACATTTGTACACTTTGAATATTTTAATGCAGGCTAGTATTATCAAAACCCGAAAATTTTGATTATCTTAGTGCCGGTCAGTATTAGCAAGTGGCACGCCGGTACGTCTGCGGACTTACAACGCTAGAAACCATTTGTACACTTTGAATATTTTAATGCAGGCTAGTATTATCAAAACCCGAAAATTTTGATTATCTTAGTGCCGGTCAGTATTAGCAAGTGGCACGCCGGTACGTCTGCGGACTTACAACGCTAGAAACCGGGTTTCGATACCGTGATGGGAAGAGCACAGATAGCCCATTGTGTAGCTTTCTGCTTAACTTTAAAAAATATTAGCAAAATCCAAACACCTTGATGATTCTAGTGCCAGTCAGTATTATTGTAAATTACTGTAAACTATTTCTACATTGAAAAATAACTCTGGTTTGATATTTGTTATCAGCATAACTCAATAAGTACCCACATATATATATAGATATAAGACACGAAAAAAATATCTGTGTGTCTGTCTGTTTGTCCCTTATTTAACTATTCCTAGGTCACTGGGTCAACCTCAACTAAACTTTGTGGGATGATAGTCTGGAACAAAGGGCATGCTTATATGGGTTCACCCTCATTATTGTTGTTTTTGAGCGTTTATTATCTTTGAGGTAAGTTAACGTTAACTACATTCATACATGGGGACACGTCCTTACACACACAGAAGAAAAAACTAACTAAATCTCTCTCTCTCTCCATATATATATATATACACATATGTAGAAAGCATATGTGCGTATCTGTTTGTTTGTCCCTTATTTAACTACTCCTAAGTCACTGGACCAATCTCAACCAAACTTTGTGGGATGAAAGTTTGGAACAAGGGGCATGTTAATGGATGCTCACAACCCATTCACCCCCATTATTTATGTCATTGAGCATTTATTATCTTTGACATAAGTTAACGTTAACTACATTCATGTATATTGCCTCGACCTTACACCAAGCATACAGAAAATTATGAAATTTTCCTTCTCCCGGTGGGACAGTGGTAAGTCTTCGGATTTACAATGTTAAACCAGGGGTTCGATTCCCCTCTGTAGACACAGCAGACATCTCGATATGACTTTGCCATAAAAACACATGCACACACACACACACATTAAACTTTCTGTAACACAACATACACACAGTGTGGGGTAGAGAACACAAACGTCTTACCTATCTCATAGAATACGCTAGCAATCTCTATGAAGGAATGCAGTTAAAAATGGCCGCCACTATTGAAGTAATAGATAAACTCAGATCCAATTAATAAGACAACAGTCATCATGACGTTGATATGAAGAGCCGTTTTTTGAGTTATACTCACTTCCTACTTTCACTCGTGACCTTACAACTTCATCCCATAAGACATTTCTGCTGCCAATGATCGTCAATTAATTAATTACGTGAAACTGTGTGGAAGAACATTAGGAGGTGGGTATTGAAAGCGAGTAACAGAAAGCACCCGTACCGTCACAAATTTGGTAGCTACCTCTTCGTACAAAGTTACCCTGACTATCACACAGTGTATAACATGTTTTAAGTATATACATAGTGAGTTCTTAAAGCTTATACAAAACTTTCAGTGAAGTAATAATGAATACTGTAATAATATGTTATGTTATGAATAAGTTGTATGAAAGTTAGGATTTTTGCATTATATATCATAGCATCCACCCCTACAGTTTTTTAAAGTTCAGATAATATATATATATATAGGATACATATGTTTAGGATTTTACAAAATTTTCTCCAACTTGTAAATATTGTGAGTCAAGACTTCACTCCAACTGAGAAGATAACGAAAAGCCACAGTGAAGCCTAAAATCATGTGCCGCCTGGAGAACGAAAAAAAATTAACAAGAGCTTGTCTACACAAACACACAAGCGCAACTTTAAAATACACAAAGTTGGGGCCTTCCTAATAGGTATATATCTGGCTTAAAACTGTTTGAGGTGGTAGTAGTTGCATATGGTGGCACTAATATATGATTACACTTTGTATATCATAATAGTTGTATACAGTGACAGTTGTATGTAATTATACTAGTATATGGTGACATTAGTATAGACAACTGTATCACATGATAGTTGTATACAACGATAGTTATATATGATGATGATAGTATGATACCACTTGTATACGACGATAGTTATATACAACGACAGCTGTATCAGATGATAGTTGTATACAACGATAGTTATACATGATGATGATAGTAAATGATAACACTTGTATATAACGATAGTGATATACAACGACAGCTGTATCAGATGATAGTTGTATACAACGATAGTTATATATGATGATGATAGTATGATAACACTTGTATACAACGATAGTTATATACAACGACAGCTTTATCAGATGATAGTTGTATACAACGATAGTTATATATGATGGTGATAGTAAATGATAACACTAGTATATGACGATAGTTATATATCATACAACGACAGTTATATCAGAAAACAATTGTATATGATTACACTAGTACGTGATGACAATTGTATATGCTTACACTAGTATGTGATGACAATATTGATATATCATGACACTACTATAAAATGACAATTGTATATGATTACACTGGTCTGTGATGACAATTGTATATGATTACACTAGTGTGTGATGACAATATTGATATATCATGACACTAGCATAAAATGACAATTGTATATGATTACACTGGTCTGTGATGACAATTGTATATGATTACACTAGTCTATGATGACAGGTGTATATGATTACATTAGTACGTGATGACGATTATACATGATTACCCTAGTATGTGATGACAGGTGTATATGATTACACTAGTATGTGATGACAATTATACATGATTACACTAGTCTATGATGACAGGTGTATATGATTACACTAGTATGTGATGACAATTATACATGATTACACTAGTCTATGATGACAGGTGTATATGATTACACTAGTATGTGATGACAATTATACATGATTACACTAGTCTATGATGACAGGTGTATATGATTACACTAGTATGTGATGACAATTATACATGATTACACTAGTCTATGATGACAGGTGTATATTATTACTCTAGTATGTGATGACAATTATACATGATTACACTAGTCTATGATGACAGGTGTATATTATTACACTAGTATGTGATGACAATTATACATGATTACCCTAGTATGTGATGATAATATTGATATATCATGACAATACTATAAAATGACAGGTGTATATAATGACACAAGAATATGTTGACCCCGGTATACGGTAATAACTGTGTGTCATGACAATTGTATATGATAACACTATTATATTATGCATAAAACTTTGATATTAAAGTGACATTTGGTTAGTCTTAGTAAAAAGATTTCTATTTATGGCACATTTTGCGCTACTGACCAGAGAGAAGTCTGCCACTCAGCAGAGCCCTTCTATTCTATCAGTGTTATAACGCAACAACAATTCATAGTGTGGGGAATATTTGTTGTGTCACATGTACTTGAAACAGGCTCGCCATCTCCGAAATTCAGGCATCCCCGCGCTTTGCTAGGGAATTTAATAGTTGTAAAAAACAATCCACACTTGAAATACTTTAATTTTCTTGTAATTTGTGGATTCAAGTGGATTTAT